ACAATAGTACAGAACATTTGCCAAGGAAGAGTGTAAAACAAGTATTTGATTTTTTTTCTCATTTTTCTTTGATTCAGATGAATGAATAACTATTTTGACCTTAAAAAGTAGCCTACAGACTATATCAAGTAATCCTCTTCATTCAGGCCATGAAATTATATATACATGCACATGTCAAAAACTATGTGTATAGATATTTATATTTAGAACTTTCTCATTGCCAACAATGTAAGAATAAGTATTAATATATTAAAAATACCATATTAGAACTTCCTAACAGCCATAATTTTAGTGAAAACAATTTCCAAAAGTGGTAGTGGTGGTTGGTGAGACAGGCAACCCAATGCAGATATACCACTTATGAATATGATTTGTTTTAATCTTAAAAAAAAATTTCACTTATTAAACTGTTTTCATAAAAAAGAAAAAAAAAACCATCCAAAATAGTAATTTACAAGATGTAGAAAATAAAGTCTAAAAGCTGAATCCCCCACATTCACACAAAATGCCAATTTCATTGGTAGTGGGGGAGGGGGGTACAAGGGAAGAAAGAACAAGACATTCAGGATCACAGTCAACCAATAGTCATTTTCCTCAGACAACATTCATTTTCACACAAGCACTTTCAACAGTTGTTCCCTTTTTTTTTTTTTTTTAAGGAAAGGAAGAGAAAAAGGGGCCCAAATATAAAATATACATATTGTTAAGAGTTATGAATGAAGAAAAAATGTATAATTTTTCTAAATGTGCATATTTGCACATATCATGGTATGTCAGGTGAGGCCCTCACCAAGGCTAATAAGATTTAGTCAGATCATTTACTAAAAGAGCAACTTCAAAAAGCTTGTAACTCAGTTTTTTTTTTTTTTCCAGTCTTTCATTTTAAAGTCAATATTTCAGAAGCTGCTTGTAGCAGCAGACTTTTCATCAAATTGATCCATTTTCTTCCATTATCCAATAATATGAGAGCACAGAGGAAGTTCAGAGAGAGAGAGAGAGAGAGAGAGAGAGAGAGAGAGAGAGAGAGAGAGAGAGAGAGAGAGAGGAGAGAGAGAGGGAGAGAGAGAGAGAGGAGAGAGAGAGAGAGGGGAGAGAGAGAGAGAGAGAGAGAGAGAGAGAGAGAGAGAGAGAGAGAGAGAGAGAGAGAGAGAGAGAGAGGGAGAGAGAAAAAAAAAGAGTGAGGGAATTTCTTTAAATGTCCACCAGTTTATAGATTTGTAATTTGTTTTAACAATTAAAAACTTTAGGAAGAAAGTCATTTTGCTCAATGAGCATACCTTCTGGATTTGTTCTCTTTTGTTTAGTGCAATCATGAGATTCCATTTCACTTGGTGGCAGCAGGAGTAGGTGCTGTTGCCAATTTGGGACGAAGGGGCATCTTTGAAGTGACAAGTCTGTCAACCATATTCTTGGCATACCGAAGTCTGTAGTAGAGGTCTTTCGTTGTGCCAAACTTTTGCAATGTTTGCACACGGAACGTTTTACAGTTTCTCTTCTCATCAATATAAGTCACAGCTCCCATCACAGGACAAAGGATCAGTTTGGTGTGATCCTCAAAGAAATTTATCTGAAGACAAAAAAAAAAAAAAACAAAGTTATTCTAAATTGGCTATGCTCTGTAGTTAATACAAATATCTATTTTAAAAATTCAGAAATTTACAGAATAATTCTTGCGTCAAAGGAAAAAAATTCATTTTTCTCTTAGCACTCAAAGCTTACAATTTATCTACCAAGTCTTTAACATGCAGTCCAAAGAGTTGGTTTAAAATTAAATTTACCATTTGGAGGATTCAAATTTTTGAAACATTTTTAGTAACTACTTAACTCCATTATTCACAAAAAAAAAACAAAAGGACTTGTGCAGAGTTACAAAATTAAGTTCATCTTAAACAATTTCCCTCATCTATTAAAATTAGAAATTAAAAAAAAGGTTCATTATCAGGAGGAACAATTGTAAAGTGGATAATTCAAGTGATTTTTATACAAACACAGATTAACTAATAAGCATGTGTATGCGCACACGTTTTTGGTAATTTATGCTTCAAATCCCTGTTCTTTAAACTGAAGCCTTCAAGATCAGCAGATTGTCATTTTGCAGCCACACAAATTGACTAAAAGATTTTTGTAACACTAACAATGGTATATATTTGTTACGAATAACTCCAATATTTGGAAGTATTTCTAGTTAAGTGAACAAGATTTGCAAATTGTTTGTAGATGAGGGATAGAAATATCAGCGTGCAAAAAATTTGTAAAATACATTTTTCATTCTAATTGAATCATGAACCATAGTACAGTTAAATTTATACAGAAATGCACTTGGCAAAATATTACATGAAATTGTTTCCCTGTGAAAATATGAGAGAGAGAGAGAGAGAGAGAGAGAGAGGGAGAAAAAAAAACCAAAAAACATACTGACCTGTACAGTTCCATTGCTTAAGTGCAGATTGATAGCACTTCGAGTACGGAACCAAGTCTTCAAGAATGGTAAGCGGCAATAGTCATCACTGTCCCGTGGTGTAATGTTGGCACCTGCTTTCAACAAGTGTTCACTCATGTAGTTGCGGAAATATTTCAATAGTGTCACTTTCTTTGTTAGGCTCTCGGGGAAGTTGGTCATGGTGAAATATTTTTCCGCACCATCACGTTCAATATATTCCATATTTCTGAAGGAGCCAAAGAATGTTCTTAGATTTACAATAACTTTGCCTGACTCAGCTAAACTGGCATTCAAATTTTTTATTTTATGAGTCAGAAATACAGATATACCTTTAACACAATATGTTTTAGGCAAAGTTTAAATATTAAGCTTACTTTTTATTTTTTTATTATTATTCTTATAATAATAATAATAATAATAATTGAAATACAAAAAATTGTTCTCACAAGTACAGCCCACACTTTTGGAAAGTGTCATGATGCCATTTCTAACCTTAGGTCTCTGGGCAGGACCCGGAAAGAAATGTGTACATGCCAGAAATCAAAGGAAAAAATAATAGCCATGCGTGATATACACTTAAGTGATTATGTATCTTTTGATACAAGGCTGATGAGGCAGATTTTTTCCCCTGCAGCAGGTTGCTATTTCTTTCTGCAGTAGACCAGTTGCCATCCAAGATTATAGAACCCAGTCTGTTCTATTCTTTACTCATAGACGGGGGGAAAAGAAGAGGATTCATACCTTTCCCAAGGGTATCAGCATGTAACTGAATGTAATGGGTTTTGCCTGGAATTTGAACTGTTCTCCGAGCTGCTATTCATTACTCCACTGTGCTTCCTCCAAGCTAATTTTAGTTTGATATAAGAGTAAGTGTCAAAGTGAAAGATGCCTACTTTCTTTTGTGGGAGGATGCCCCACCTCAATGTATTGCATGTTTTAAGTCTGTGTACCAATATAATATACTACTACTTTCACAAACTCAATTATACTAGTCTGCTTTAAATGCACACATTAAAACCATGCCAAGTAAAAAACATTGGTGGGGTGGGGGGGAATTAAGGACAATTTTAATTTCTAAAATGAAAATTAGTTCCCTACAAAAACTTTTTTTTGTAATACAGCAAACCAAATAGTGCCCCTACCCCTGCCATGTCATCCACTCTAGCTGTTATTTTTAGGTGCCTACTATTTAATGTTTGTGGAAATTTTCTGACTTCACTCAGACAACCCCATTCATTAATTTCAAACTTCTTGACTAAATTATTTTCTACCACATATCATAGGAAGATAAAATTTGATTCTACTAATTAAATCCTTGCAATACTTACTCAGCATTTGCCATTAGTATAAGCCTCGTAGAGTCATTGAACAACACTCCAAAGCTGTTATCACACAGCATATACCCAATACCATATTTGTCACTGTAGTCAACCCATTTGCTAACCCAATATAAAGGAATAGCTGCTGGGTCTTCTAAGTCCTCTGGAAGAAGAAAAAAAACAAAATTACAGTTATTTGCCTTGGTAAAGATTTAAAAAAAAAATAATTTCTTTATTTCAAATTCTCTCCCATCATTATTAGACTCATAGAATAACATTACTTGAGCAAACTACAAAGAAATTAGAATAAGTAACACTATTTGTATCCCAAACTTTAGTAGCCTGCCTTTCATGAAGTCTCCTTAAGTACTTCATTGGTGCAAAATTATAGCTATTTTGCTACACTTTCTGATCAATAATGCCATCTGTTTTAGTACAAAGTAATAGTAGCCTTTCTTGAAGTTTAAATATACTTTCACATTTTACTAACATACTAGAAAAATTTAAGCATTTGAGAAAGATGCTTTTATTGAAGAGCAAAAAATACAGCCACTTACCTTCAATACATTCTCTGTCACAATTCTTGGCATTTATCACAGAATCCAACAATTTGCTCAGAACATGCAAGTTACTTTGGTCAGCTGGGAAAAAAAAATAATTTTATATTAACCATAACTTGGATATAACCTGCAACTTTCTGTCTATATTTCAGAGATGAGGTATTGTAATTGTTTACACTATTTACATTGCTCGGACTGTCCTCAAGGATATATGGCCCAATGGATAAAATTGATTGAATCCAGTGACTTGACTCAAAGACTTGCTAGTTCAATGGCTGGCTACAGCAGAAGTGAACAAAAACTTGGAGTTAAAAGGGAGATAACTGATATCGAGACATCCGAAAGAGGCATGACATGGAACAAGAACAATCTACTCCAGTAGATGAAATAAAGGGTTCAGTTTGAAATTCCAATCACCTGAGGAAGGTCAGTGCAAACAACAGCCGAAACATCGAGATGACAACAGTTCAAACAATGTAAATAGTGTAATAACCTGCAACTTTAACATTCATTACACACAAAATGGCATTCTGGTTACAAAATGAATGTTAAATTTTAAAGACTTTTTTTTTCTTTTACCAAAGTTATTTTTTTTTATCAACACATAACACAAGAGTTGAAATTTTTCTCTTTGGAAACTCCAATATTTGATTTAATGCTGCTCTAAAGTTTTTTTTTTTTTTAGAGATAGATAGAAAGAAAGAGAGATAGATAGAAAGAAAGAGAGATAGATAGAAAGAAAGAGAGATAAAGAGAAAGAGAGATAAAGAGAAAGAGAGATAAAGAGAAAGAGAGATAAAGAGAAAGAGAGATAAAGAGAAAGAGAGATAAAGAGAAAGAGAGATAAAGAGAAAGAGAGATAAAGAGAAAGAGAGATAAAGAGAAAGAGAGATAAAGAAAGAGAGATAAAGAGAGATAAAGAAAAAAGAGATAAAGAGAAAGAGAAAAGAGAGATAAAGAGAAAAAGATAAAAGAAAGAGATAAAGAAAGAGAGATAAAAGAAAGAGAGATAAAAGAAAAGAGATAAAGAGAAATAGAGATAAATAAAAGAGATATAAAAGAAAGAGAGATAAAAGAAAGAGAGATATAAATAAAGAGAGATATAAATAAAGAGAGATATAAATAAAGAGAGATATAAATAAAGAGAGAATAAATAAAGAGAGATATAAATAAAGAGAAATATAAATAAAGAGAAATATAAATAAAGAGAGATATAAATAAAAAAGAAATATAAATAAAGAGAGATATAAATAAAGAGAGATATAAATATAATAAAAAGAGAAATATAAATAAAGAGAAATATAAATAAAGAGAAATATAAATAAAGAGAAATATAAATAAAGAGATAGAGAGAAATGAGATTTGCATTAAGACTGTTCCTTAAAAAAGAAAAGTCTACTGGCTCAGAGACAGAATTTTATTAAAAGGGGATGTGCTTCCCGACACAAATTGAACCTGCATTCCTTTTATCTCCCCTACCTCAAAGAAATCACTCATAAGCTCAGTGTGCCTTCTCATGGCAAGGCACACTTGATTTCTTAATGAGGAAAGAAAAAAAAATCTTGCCAGGAAACTCATTTTCATCTAGACTGTCTCAAGGCCAGTTGGCCAAAATTTCAGTGTTTGTGAGTGCATGCACATAACAGATTTGCTTGTATCCATTAATTGTATAAAATATATAAACTCAATAAAAAAAATTGCCCTTTATTTAATAAATGTCTATGGTCAATAAGCACTTAAATAAAGGGTAAATTATTCTCAAATCATGCTGAAAACACTGTTCAATCACCAAAGTAGGATCAAGCCCACTTAGTACTTTGATAATTTTTTTGGTAGCTAAAAAAGTGTATTCTTTTCTTCCTTAAACCTCATGGACTACCAGACTTACATCATCCAGACTGCTGAACATGTTAGAAACCTCATTTGAACTTTGACATTGGAAGTAACTACAGACATTCAAGAGGAAAAAAAAAAAAAAAAAATCAAATTACTTTCTGCATTTTCTGAAGCTCTCATCTGTTCATTCTTGAGCCCAACATTTTCCTTCTCTTCACAAGTTCTAATGCCTCCATCTGGAATAAAAGTAAGAAAATGTTACCAGCTTTATTGCACTCATGATACGCAATTCTGATGGCAAACAATATATGGATAGACTGTATTTTTTAGAGTGGAGATAAACACTAGCCAATCTAAGGCAATCTTTAGACATCAGTTATGTCAGCGTCTTATCCCCCCCCCCAACAGCCTAAAATCTGTTCAGGATAATCATTAACGGCCTCATGTCTTTGCATTCATCCACAGTATTTCAATGTTAATTTTAGCCTTGGGAGTCAAATCTAAACTAGTGGGGCTGACACACCTGAGTGAGGTGAAGTTTTGCCAAGAAACCTCACACAAGATAAAGAATATACATTCTCATTCACACTTTCATAATGAAGCCTACAATAAGTACTAAGAAAAAAATATTCTTTTGAAATTTATGGAGGATGCTAAGTGATGCAATTAAATGTCTAATAAACAGAAGTGAGTAAATGTTGAATTTTCTTTTAAATATAATTTATTTATATTCTAGTTAGATTAATTTAGGTATTATATATTTGATATAGATTTTGGATTTAATAGTTTTAAATTAATTTTTTTTTTTTTTATAGTCATGTATGTTGGCTTGGGAAACAAAATATTAAAAAGTGTGGCACAGATTTATATTTTAGTAAGAATTCATCCAAGTTAATCCTCTTCTAATAAGTGTGTCATTCTTTAGCTCAAAGTTGTGGTTGAACTTATTTCTATGTATGACATGCATTTGATAAATTATTGTGGATAAGTTAATATCTTTGTCAATTTCATGAGAAATATTGTAGCAATTCAATGTAAAAATTTCTAACATTGGTATTATAAACATGACAAATGCAAACAAAAGTAGGAATTTTTATTCTTTACATCAACCAGTTTAGTTTTGCTGTCCATCACCATACATCATGTCATGTAAAACTTTTCCTAAATAACTAGTCTTCCTTATAATTCCCCCAGTAATTTATTCTATTTCCAAAAGCTGCCTTAACTTGTTTCACTGCCAGGTATATTTTTTAATGTTAATGATGGTCAGATTTAAAAAAAAAAAATCATGGGACATCTAGTACATCTGACATGTCTGGGCTAAAAGATTTTTATAATTTAAAAGAGCATAAAATATCTATTGACACAAGGCAGCATATCATGCAAACATTTACTGTCACATCAACATATGTTATACTTCCATCTTGCAAAAGTATAGAACTATAGTTATACTGCCTATAGTTCCAAGCTGATGTTTTAGAAAGATTTAAAAAAAAAAATGCTTCTTGGATATAGTCCCTTTGGTTCCACAATGGGAGTATTTACAGCAGAGAAATTAAATCATATTTCATCATTACTAACGACTCCTGAACAGAGACTGCAGTAAGGCAAAAACTTTTAGGGCATATTAAGAAAACTTAAATCAAATTCTGATAATTTTTTTTTTACTTCAATAGCCAACGCAGTGGTGAATGTAAATTCAAATTTGCATAGAGCAGCTCTGCCAATTTTAACAAAAGCAAGATGGAAAGCTAAGCTAAGTATTTTAATTTACTTCCTGTCACTTTTAATCAACTGATTATCATTATGCAAGTGTTAATGATTAGAAGTGTCAGATAAAAATCAACTGAAATAGAAAGAATTAACCCCAAAAGCATTACATTTAGTACTAAGAATTCAAAATATCAAACAATATAGCAAGGTTTGGTGTTAAGAAAACAAAAGAACATAGCTATATGGCTAAATATGAATCAGCTCTTATCACTAGTGACTTTAGTTCTGTTCTACAAAGCTTACTTAATAATCTTAGAGTTACAATAGAACAAGAAATTGAAAACAAAAATAGAAAAATTTTTTATCAACAATATTACAACTAAAATAGGTATAAAAAAAAAAATCTTGTAATAGTGGGATGAATTACTCTACAATTTGTATACAATGTGTAACCGCAACTACAGAAAATTCAGGAGCAATAACTATGTTCAACAATCAGCAATTAGAACAGAAAGATAGCTTGAGGATAAACCAAGTACATCTGAGAATTGTCAGCGCATTTTGTTCAAGTTTAAAAATGAAATTTGTATCCTTCAGTTTTCATTTACTCCCAGAACACAGAAGAAAATGTCTGTAGAAACGGCTATTAAAAAAAAAAAAGAAAAGAAAAAGATCAGGTCTGTGTGTGGGGAAGTAACTGACCTTGCAATTTTACATTGGCCAAAGGTTTGCGCACATCCACTTCCTGCTTACATAAAGTGTCAATTCTAGGCCGGATGGATAAGCAACTTGCAGGTAGGCGTGATGGAATTGGACCTGGAGAAAGAATAAAAACAGAATAAAGAAAAATACCAGATTTCATATATATATATATATATATATATATATATATATATATATATATATAAAGACATCTTAATGTTTATACATTCTATTTGTAGATAGAAATATTTAAGTAAATGGTGTTTATAATAAACAATAATAAATAACATTTACCGGCTTGAATGTCGAGAAATTTTCAGGCCGATAAATGTTAAATACTGTTTATTATAAACAGAGCATTTACTTAAATATATTTCTATCTATAAAAAGAATGTATAAACATAAAAATGTCCTAAAACAATTGTCAGATTTTGTCCATTTCATAATATATCTCCTAATTTCAAATGGTCACTAACAATTTTGGCATGAATGTCCTCAACAGATTGTTAGGTCCCAAAACCAGGTTTAAGTTGTCACTACAAAAAATACTCTCAATCCTTCCGATACTCAAGTCTCAGTTTAATAAGATATTCTTCATTTGAAGAAACTATTTATTAGATTACAAAATGATTATAATTATTTAAGATTTTAATTTCACTGTAAATACCATCTTCAGATTTATTTACAATGAATTTCTATTGTAAACATGACTTAAAGCATATAACTAGTATGTAATTTGCCTTTCCATAATGTACATTCTATAAGGCCATTATTATGAATACAAGGAAATAAAAAGCTAGCAACAAATAAACCAACAAAGATAACATGCAAGGAACAAGGCTGTGCTTATAGACTAGAAATATTGTGCATGTTGAAGCACTGTGATACCAATTACTTGGCTCTATAGCCATGTTAAGGGAACAGTCCATTTGCAGAGTTCCCCAGACCTGGGCACAGGACCAGAGTTTATCTTACTATCCCATTTTTGGTGTACCAGCTTCTATCATTGTTTCTCTATTCACAAACCTATTAAGAATTGCATTTTTGCGAGAGAGAGAGTGTGTGTGTGTGTGTGTGTGTGTGTGTGTGTGTGTATATATATATATATATATAAATAATGGGGGCAACATTACAATATTTGTGACCAACTTTATCACATTTTATGTTTCTATCATGTATAAAGGGATATAATTACATCCCCACCCACTCCAAAAATCTTTCTAAATTGCTAAAATCTTTTTGAACATCAATAATGCAACAATCTTTGAAACAAAACTATATGCATTGCAAAAAATGTTATTGCTGTCTATAATGCATATATAACATCTCCAGATTATAAACACCTCAGTTGAGGAAAATTAAAGACAATTCTAAGATTACCTTTCATGCAAGGAGAAAGTATATTTGTATTTATTCCATTCCACTATTTTTAAGAGACTCACTTTTCTTATAACGATCTAGGAATAGTCAAGAGTTGAAAAGTAGAGTGCAGTGTTAAGATTACTAAATCGATGTAATTTAAGCGGGTCTGCTAGAAAAATATTAGAGTGAATCAAAACTATTTTCATTCCCCAATCTCCAGATCTTGAGTGTTTCATGCAAACATCAAGAAACTGACTAAGACCAATTGTATCCTGCCATAGCTTGTTTCACACATAACAGATAAGTACCTTGAGTCTGATAATTTTCAGCAATTTTAAACTGGGCCTAAAAGTTGCTTGCAGACTTTGCTAAACAGAAGAAAATGAAACCATATCTGATCATAATGCCTAAAGCTGATATATGATGGTCACTTGTCACTTGAAATAAAAGCTGAAAGTGGATGATGAATTGTCCATTGTGATGCTTTAAAATGCAAGGTAGTAGAGAACCCAATGACTAAAACTTTCACAACAGCTAATATCACAAAAAGATACACTCCAATACTATATGTAGTTTAAACTGATGCATAAGATGCTTACCAGAGAAGAACTCATGTTTAATGATCTGATCCATTGATGGCCGTTCATTTGGATTAGACTTCAAAAGTTTTTGAATTAAACTTCGAGCTTTCCAGCTGACGTAACTGGGAATGTCATATTCATTCTTCTTGATTTTAGAATAAGTTTCTTTCAAGGAACTCGTTTCAAAAGGTGGTTTACCAACTAAAAGTGTGTACCTGGAAAACAAAAATGAATACTTGGAGATTAGGTGAGAAACATTCCAACTTCATTTGCTTACAAGAAATTAATAGATTCCAGCAATAAAACACGAGTCAAGCAATATTTTGATATTGATAACAGACCACAAAACACTGAAGGCCTGAGAGGAGAGGAGAAAAAAAAAAAAAAATAAAAGAACAGTACTAGAAAAAATTCAAAAATTCTCCCAACACAACTGCATGAGGAAAGCATACTTTCCAACCATTTTGAATGGTTACATAAAGCACAAATTTTCAGACCACATTTAGTTTTACTACTTAGTAATACAGGGGGCCCTTGACTTACTGAGATCTGATCCCATGGTGCGACAATCAGTTTTTCAATGTAGGTTGGTACTTACCTACATGAGTGCCCATGAACCTGCCTTATGCTTGGGAGCCATACTGAAGGGCAAAAATAAAAAGAGCCCAACACAAATGAGAGATAATGAATATAGCACAATCCGATATTGTGCACAGCCAGCGAAGAAACAGACTTCACTATATGGTGCCATGCGATGACGTATTACATTTTGGGGAAAAAGCATGAAAAAGTTGAAACTGCAGCCCTCCATGACTACACTGGTTTAGGCACTGTGACTACAAGTTAGGCTAACACAGCTAGCCAAGCAACGTGGGGGAGGGAAGTGGGGTGTTGAGAGGGCTTATGGATAAAAAAAAAAAAAGAAAAAAAGAAAAAAAGACTAACCAAAAATGAAGATAAACAGAATTCAAATAAGGTTTAAAGTAAAAGCTTTTTTTTTGCTACCACTAGCAAAGTTCCCCCACCCTTTTTTTTGCAGAACTAATTTTTATTTCATGAATTGCTTTGTTCAGATTTATATTCTTAGTTTTGTTATCAAATTTCTGCCAACATATTTTCTGGGTTTCATTGCTGGAAATCTAGAGATGAATCTTACTGGTATTCCTTCATTTGTTCAGGCTAATATCTTATGTCATCACTACTGCCAAAAGAGGATCTACTTAACAGATTCCGGCGGGTACAACTAAACACCCCAGTTTGAAAACAATTTTCAGTGTCCATTAATAGGAGGTTGCAATACTATTTTTCTTTGCAGCAGGTGGACCTCAAGGAGTTTTGCCTTATTGAACATTTATAACCACACAGCATGAAACTCAACCAATTATGCATATACAACTGTTCTAGAAAGCCTCCCCAATATTTGGTGGATATATTGTTACTATTTGTTTTTTTTTCTTCATATTTATGATTAGTACAAAATCAAAAATAATGTCACTTTACATAAGATTTTAAAACCATCTTACACACATGGAATCTATATTTTTATGAAGATCACTCAATGCTTGGCTTCCATAACTTGTTTATCCTATAGCATTTGACTTTGAGGAATTTACAAGAGATCTATTTTCTTGCCTGCAGTGCTATGACAGATGGGGGAGAAATAGGAAAAAATTACTTACACAATACAACCTAGAGACCAAACATCCACTTCAAAACTGTGTCCTTTTTTAGATAACACCTCGGGTGCTATATAATTAGGTGTACCACAGAGAGTCCTGCAGAGAAGAAAAAACATTTTACTCAATTCTTTGTAATATCAGAGGATTAAGTAAATATATCAAACTATTCATTTTGATGATTAAATGCAACACCTACATCAATAACAATCTTTGTCAGTGCACTTAAATACTGAATCCACTTTCATTTAATAACTGCCTCAAGTTTGTTAACAACTCATTTGTTCACACTATATAAAAACGAGTGCAATAGATGAATAGAAACGACATGCACAAATTTTGGAACCAACTGCATTTGAATAAGGTTTCCATTGTCCTCACTACCCTCCTGACTTGACCACAAGAAAAGGTGCTTCACTTTAGCTGTTTCCTTCACAAACATCTGATAGTTGGAGAAAAAAGGTTTATGAGCAGGGAGTAAAGCAAAGAATTAATGGAAGCATTACTGAGAAAATTATTCTGACACAAATTCTGAATTTTATAAAATAATTATTCATAAATTCATTAATTTCTAGAATTGATATATTTGCTGAAATTTTTAATATGCTGCTTTTCAAAAAGGAGTATAGAACAGGTTTTAGTGATGTTTAAGTATTGGCAGGATCTAACTCCAATGACCCATGACAGCTGGCCAATCTGGTTAACACGCAGCACTGGAATATTGGACCAGTTTGAAATTTCTCAAACCTTTTCTCCAGCCAAATGCCCAAAGATCACGTTTAACGACATTTTCTTAACCAACTCACCTTTTTCGCTCTCCTTCAAAATCCAAAGTGGTTGCAAGACCAAAGTCTCCTATTTTGACATCCAGATCTTCCCCAAGGAAAAGATTGCCAAGTTTCAAATCCCTGTGGATTACTTTGCGATTGTGCAAATACTGGCAAGCTTCCACCACCTGTTTGACAAAATATTGAGTCTCGGGCTCGGTGATGGCTCTTCGCCGTTTGTGCATTTCCATCAGTGACTGGAAGATAGGAAGAAAAAAAAAAGTAAGTCTTTTGACTTGACAGAAATAAAGCTGAACATTGAGAAATTGTTGAAATTATCAGCAGCCACAAAAGGATTCCAATTTTATTTAAACTTTACAAATTATAAAAAATCTAAAGCTGATGTATCTCTTGACAAGTTTGGTGCTCAATCAACTAAAAATCAATGTACAAGAATTTTAGGTTATCTGTCAAAGCACATGAAAATATTTAATACTTCTTTAACAGGATTTTGCTACCAAGGACAATACCTTAGATGTTCAGAGAAAGAACAAGAGAACCAAAATAAGCTGGTAACAATTACCAAGCAATTGAATATTATTAGTGCGTGTATGCATATATATATATATATATATAATCTATGATGGTGCACTGAAAAAAACCTTGGTCCCACCAAGAATAGATTTTAAAATAAATTCTGATGTTTCTTCATTTGGAGAGATTCTGGCATGCAGATAATTTAATGATGGGTGTGCACTCAGTACTTTCCAATTAACATATTGCAAAACAAAATATTTTATACATATACAACTGCAAAGACAGACTCACCCTTCGTCGGCAAAGTTCTAACAAAATGTAAATAAAATGGTCATCTTCAAAGAAGCTGAAAAAATTCACTATGTTTTTATGACGCAAAGATCGATGGATGTTAATTTCTTGAAACATCTGAAAGACAAAAAAAAATTTTTTTAGTTTTTTTTTTTAGAGAAAGCATTTTGTTTTATGTTCTACCAATCTTTGCACAGCCTTAATTCCAATTAATTTCTTATTCCTTTAGCGCCGTTGAATAAAATTGCAAGAAATTTGCTGTTTTTACTTCAAATGTCAACACGAACTCCTTTGGCTACTGATATTTAGCTACCTCTCAAGGTAGTAAAACCAACAAACGATCAATTTAACCTGGGATCTCATACTTGTTTACACAAAAACACCTCCATCCTCCCCTTTTGTGCAATGGATAGGTGCTGACTGGTCTATGAATCTCCAGAACATGGTTTGATCACATTTTCTTTAGTGTCTAAAGAAAAGACATTACCCTCTTGTTATAACAAAATATTAATGACCAGTTAAAGCCTTCATTATTCATTGTAATACTAAGAAAGCTTCTCATGATTACCCATTTTGGTGCATTCCTTCATCATTCAATTGATTACTATCACTACTAGCTGGATGACTTTCTTTGGCTGTTAAATTGATAGTAATATATCAGTTAAGATTGGATATTTAGACAAACTTTAGTTTTGAGTGATTCTCAATCTTATAACAGCCAACTTAAAGTACACAAAGGCATGTCATCATTGAAATTAATTTGATTACATTGATTGTTAAAAAAATTCCACTATTTACTGGTAAATGATGCTTGTGGTTTTTATTTAAGGCAAAAAAAAAAAAAAAAAGCTGCATTTTTGCAGGGTAAGGTGGAGAGTACAATAAATATTTAGTATCATTTTTAAAAGTTTAAAATTATATATAGTAAAATTAAAGAATTAGTATTTACATATATTGATCTTTGAATGGTAACAAAAACAGATGGCATCATGGAAAGATTCAACTATTAAAAGGTAGGAATAAATATGTTACCCCCCAAAAAAAAAAAAAACAATAAAAAAAAACGAACTCACTTTTGTCACGTTGGTGACTCTTGATTAAAAATTGCCTTCGGGACAATTTTGCAGGCAAAAACGTCTTTCGGTTTTCCTTGTTCAATGACTTCATAGCATTTAGCAAAACCACCCTAATGGGGGAAAAAAAGATGACAATATACAGTTAAGTCAGTAAGCTGACACCAAGAGGGAAGAAAAAAAGGCAACTTTATTTTTCAGTACAATCTTTCTTAAAACACTTAATTCAGCAGATTGAATATGATACAGTGAATAATCCAGATCAAAAATAAATAATAATGATAAATATATGTTAAGTCATGGACTTCTTGATCCATCCTCAGATCAAACAAAAATCATCAATAACACAGCACAGCAAAATAATTTGATTCCCTCTAAATGAAAGTATGGGTAAAATATTTTCACTAATATACATTCTGCTACCTCTATATCATCACCGTTTAAAAACATTCATTCCTTTTCTTGTAACTATTTCTGCTTCTACCAAGTTCAGTGATAAAAATAATGTGCCACTATGTAGAAAGTCGGTGATGAAAAATTAGACTGGCCAAGAAGGGATCTACCTATAATTTCTTGTCTTTTGGCCAGACTAAGTATTTCCTTCATTATTTCATGTTTAAATAAACTTAGATTGTCCAGTGAAGAAACAAAGATTTCTATAATTGAGCATAGACTATCTGAATGGCTATAGCATTCCAGTTTTTAACAACACTATGACTTTTAGAAGCACTGCTACTTTTCTTATTGGGCTATGGCATAATATCTTCCCCGCCTTCATTAAAAAAGAAAAGAAAAAGAGGAATCAAACAGAAAGCAGGCAATATTAACTTCCCATAATTTTATTGCACTTAATCACACAACCTGAAATAAACTTTCAGTTTTTTGAACTTAGTTTAACTAAGAGTTGTTTAGTGTGATAGAAAAGGTCACTACAATCAGCTAATCATTATTGGGTAAATAAAGAAAGCATAAGTTATAAAATCAGCCAGTCTCACCTGGCATCAAGAAAACATTAACTAAATGATCAAAGGCAGTCAAAGCATTAAAAATCACTCAATATATTACTAGTCCCTTACTAACCAACTAATCTCATTTAAAGAGAGGAATGTCGCCATGCTTGAGAAATGCAAGCACAAATATATTTTTATACTTTTACCCTAAAAGAAATGTATCTAAAGCCTCATTTTAACAATTAAGGGTTCCAATTAGACAGCTTAACACCTAGAATTAAAGTTGCAAATCTGCATTGTATGTGAAACTAAAGTTCAATACCTGAATATCTTGCTAATTAGCTAATATTTTATTACAAAGTTAAGTATTATCTTTTTCCTTCAGTAAGAGTAGATTAGTCAGTTATGTGCCATGCATGATACACTTAGGTGATCATGCATCTTTTGATACATGACTGACGAGGCAGATCCCCCCCCCCCCGCCCACAGTAGGTTGCCATTTCGTTCTGTGGTAGACCAGTTGCCATTCAAGGCTATACAACCCACTCTGCCCTGCTATTTAATTTACCCATAGCTTGGTAATACCTTTCCCAAGGGTATTAGCAATGGATTTGACTGATATTTGAACACAACTGATTGCTCAATTGGCGCTGCCATCCATTACTCCACCATTTGCCTATTGTCCAGTTCAAACTCCTCTCCAGTTCTTGGAACAGTAGTAGAGTTTTATCCCTTGTTTCTGGTTTAGGATTGGGTTTCCAATTCCTTCTGAAGTCATTTTCATTATCTTCACTCCTGTAAACTCCTTGTGTTTTAGTGGCATTATGGCCTTGATTTTGGGTGGATTAAAAAAACAAAAAACACCTCTATAAATGGAAGCATTTATGTAAAAGTACTATCTTAAATAGGCATTTATTTTTCATTGTAAGACAAAAAGATACAAATTCCTCAAACTCTTTATCTATGATAAAATGTCAACATTTTAATCACAAAATACCAATTAACTCATGCCTAAGTTGCATAACCAAAATCTTTTAGAAAGCTATTTCAATAGACTTAAGCCACTTGAAAACACTCAAAAATAAGGAAATAAAGTAAATATTTCTTTAAACTGTTTCGTGCTTCAATAAAATTTAAAAACTATTCAGCTACACTACACTTAAAAACATTTTTAAATTCAAGAAAATTCCAGTATTGTACTTTTTAAAGTCGAATATCAATATTTCAATTGAAAGTAATTAATTTCACGCCGATTGTTGTTGACAAACAAAAACTTTTTTTTTTTTATAGCCAATCAAATCAATGCTAATCGTTTTTTGTCTAACAAGTTTAATTGATTATAATTTTCACCTGGTTTGTGCACAAGGCGAAATAAGATTGTGTTGCACTACGTGGTAGCAATCTACATACAAAAAAGCAACACGAGATTAATCTGGCATTTTTAACTAAGATTCATTGAACATTCTACAAACTACCTAATTCCCAGTCACAATCAACCGTTAGCCTTAAATTCAAAAGTATATCCAACATAGTTCAAGATTCAACAAAAAATTTCAAACTTCGATATTTTTGATAAATCTGTCTTACGAAAAAAAAAAAAAAAAATCTCACCTCAAATCAAAAATCAAAATTAATGACTTTGTGGCCCATATTTTTCATACATATTTCGATGTATGGAATAAATTTTAGAGTCAAAATGACCTGTATCCAATTCATCAATAGAGCAAAAAACTTTCCTAACACTTTTTACAGGCATTTAAAATATTTTTCTGCAAAAAGTATAGTTTTGTAAGAAATTAAAATTAAGATTTAATCAAATACCAGCAAGCAACGTAAAAAAAAGAAGTCAAGATCTTAAGAAATTACCAGAAAATAATATTAAAAAAGTCGCACTGGAGTCAATAAAAATAATTAAATAAAATTTTTAAAAAACCTTCAGTTACAAGCTGATATTTAACTAAGAAGAGCAACGACTTCCCGAACGAGAGTAAGGAAACTAGGCTTTTCTATAAACCTGGAAAAGAGACAGTTAGAGATTTGAATATTTGTGAAGGAGATTTTTTTTTTCACGATGCCAGTATTAATCGATTAATACTGGGATATCAATATAGCAAAATATTCTCCCCGCTCAAAGACGATGTTTTGTTTGTTTATCAATAAAATAGTCTGCAATAGTAAATAAATATCTTTCAGCTTCTCTTTGTGAAATATTTCAATTCATTACTTTTTTTAAAGTTACCAACAGGAAACTATGAAATTACATATCAAATATGAATATAAAATGGATTTATTTTAGATATTTTACTTACCAAAAACATTTTATTGTTGCAGAAAAAAAAAAATAACAAAAACAATAAAATTGGTCAATTTTTTTTTATTGCAATGTATTTAAAAAAAAACAAAAAAACAGGTAATTTTTTTCATTCATGTGTAGTCAAAGAACTAACAAATTCAAATATTTTTAAATCAGTACTCAACTGTCAGAATTTTATTTCTTATAAATTCGGTTACTTGTTCTATATTGTAAAAAGGGAACTGATTTTCACAATTCAAAATAGAAAAACTAACGTTTTTTTAAAAATTGCTTAATTTCATCTTCGGCGATGGTGGGTGAGAGAGAGAGAGAGAGAGAGAGAGAAACAATATGTAGTTGTAGTAGATATCGTGCCAGCCTTCTATTTTAGAAGAAAAAAAAACGACCCATTTAGCTTTAGCATTAAACAGTGCTTAATTCCCTAATATGAAATTTTCCTCACAGGTAAGAGTCACATTGCAACTTTCAAAATTGATCACGATTTTCAGAAAGAACATTTAAGAAATCCAGGAATTATAGCTGACGTTTAGCAACATTTATGAAGGTGTGGTCATTTTTTTTAATCTCAAAGTATTGGTAACCAACAAAATATCACAAAAAAAAATTAATAAAATGTTAAAAATAAAATCAGACTTCGGTCGTTTTCACGTGAGGGAGAAACATTTTTAGTTACAGTACAATCTTTTTATTAGTTCTCTAAACGAAACACCATTGAAATATGCGATGCGTAAAGTAATATAAAACAATAAAATAAATAAATGAAAGATTAAAAACAGGATTTTAAAAAAAAAACAAACAAAAAAAACATTGTTTTTTTTTAAACTAAATTTCAGCAGGTACCTTTTTTTTTAAACTTAAACTTCTCGCAGTTTAATTTAGGAAGAAACTAAGTCACTTTAAAGGATAAATACGGATTTTTTATTTCTTTAAAAAATAAAATAAATGCATTAAACGATTTTTTTTTTTTAAATAAAAATAATTGCAACTGTTATAATTTAAAAAACGGCATCTAACTAATTAATAATTAATTATGCAAGTTGCATAAAAAATGTATTATTTACAAATTTACGACAGGTAAATAAATACGGCCCCCGTTCTCATATTTAAAATTTCTAGAAGCAATCGCCTAAAGGAACAGAAATTAAAACTAAATAAGGATCATACCATTTCATAGCCTTTTTTTTAGTTTATTAAACAGTAAACTGAATATGACGGTAAAACCTCAACTTTATGGTCAATGGAAACAATAACGAATAAATATGAAAACTTGATATTTATAATGCTTATATCTATTCCTTACCTTGCCCAAAAATTTCCCCTTATCATAACGTTTACCGGTAGTGGAGTCAACAATAATATCAGGAATTTCGTGCGTAGAGACAGGCTTTGAAGACATTTTCGCAGGATTTTTCTCCATTAACCTGAACAAGATCAAACTTGTCTACTAATTTTTAAATCTTGCGGTTCTCAGGAAACAACAATTCCGATTGGCTGTTAGGCAATTGCTTTAATTTGATTGGCTGATGCTTGTTGGCCATAGCGAATTGTTGTTTACTCTCTAACCCGAAACCGTTTTTTTTTTTTTTTGGCTAACATTTACTCTCAGAAAACACTTACTGGTTAGAGAGTAGGCAGACAGACAGGCTGCTGAGCCTAAACGTCTTCTGGTTGGTGAATATTTTTTGTCAGCAGCCAATCAGTATGAAGTTTACATTTGTGAGTTAAGCTGCTACGCTAACAGCCTGACTGAAGAATCGACTTCATAAAAGTTATCACGATGAGTATGTTAGCAGAGTCTCGCAAAAAAGTGAAATATTCTACAAATCCACGTGGGACAAATTGGTCCAAGGGTAGGATCTATTTTTATTTGATTACTTTAGTTATAATTACAATCATAGAACACTTATTTTCTTATACTTTTTCAATGTTCTCTTGAACAGTGTAACACGTGTTGTAAAGTATGGAGGAAACTTTAGCTGACACACTCCTTATAATTATTGTCATCAGCTATGTCATCGAACGCATTATCCCACATAGAACATGCGTTCAATAATGACGCCAATGAGCTAGACACTAGTAAAATATATAGAGAACGTTCAATTGAGACTGTCATGTACGAATTACTCTGCTTTTTAAATCATGAACTACAATGAACAGATTGCAGTTTATTTATAATCTTCAGCTTGTCTGCTCGCAAGGAAGCTTCTGTTGTGGCTCGGGTTTCGCTTTTCTAGGCTAAAAATATATCGTCTGCTCCTGTGGTAGTAGAAATGACTAATGAATGGAAATGAACAATGTTTACTACATTACAATTTTTAACAGTACTAATTCCTCAAACCACTAATAGTTTTGATCTTCACTCTGTGCTTGAGGCTTGAGTACTTTTTACGAATTATTACACTTACAGTGTTCGAGTTTTGATTAAGGACATGCCATTTTTAAAAACTATTTCCTATGAAAAGATAAACCTACAAAAATCAACTGACATACTAAAAAACTTAAATGTAAATAAATTGCATTACAATTCTAAATTTTGCTACAATTATTAATTGAAGTTTATTTACTTATTGTGGTTGATTAACCAGTGCTGCTATATATAGAAAGTGTGATCCTGACTACGTGTCCCACACTTATGGCCTTGTGCAAGAATCTCAATAAATATTTTTAGTACTTTGTGTCTGTAGTCAGTGTACTGTAAGTGTATACCATTGCTTTGGTTAGTTAGTTTGAATCTCATTTGGTGCTTCACTGTTGAATTTCTTGTGCTAGTGCCAGACAAAGTTAAAAAACAAATGAAAAATGCTGTGACCAATTTTGTTACATGTTTATTTTTTATAAACATAAAATAAAGAACTTTCAAATATTTACATTTTACAATGAGGAAGACTATTGACGAGGGCAAGCTTCTGTCAAATTGCAAGTATATAGTAAATTAATTTACACAGCCTATTTTTTTTTTTAATATCTTACTCATTTACTGATTAGTAACCCCTAGTGCTTAGGTTTGGGTGTTGAATACTTCCCTTAAGAGATTTCAGTTGTTTGGAGTCCTGACGAATTGTTGAAAGATCTATTCATCTAAATAATTAATAGTGTATATCGAAATGTTGACAATCAAAAGTTACGTTGATATTTTTTTTTTTTTTACATTTTGAAAGTAAATCGGAATTTAGCTTCTTTGGTACTACTTGTTAATGAGAGATTTTTTTTTATTTGTAAATCTACAAAGATTTATTTTTCTCATTATTTCACAATCAGTAACAACCTTTCATCTCAGTGGCTTTATTGCCTTGCTTAGGGGTGAAATGAATTTAAAAAAAATGTGAATTTCTAGCATCTTCTAGGGCATCCTGTGATGGGTGTGTGTTACTGTTAAAATGCTGTGTAGTGTTACATGATTGTAGGCACATTATTAAGGGCCTTAATTTAAGGCACTCCCAGACTGTATGAAAAACTTGCAGGTGCATTTTGATCCCTTAAAGGGTTAAACAGACAATGACATCACTTGTAAACTTCTCTTTGTCAATAAATGAACTTTTTCAAGAAGCCTTTTATTTATTTTATTTAAGACTTTTTATTTAAAAACTTTATTTTTTTACATTCTTGCATATACCTTTAGCTACACTTTCATTGGGCAATTTAAATAATAATTTAACATTAACAAAGAACCCAAAGTTTTGTGATGACAAATCTTGTTCATTGCTTATAGTAACTTTTGAATTTTGTCAGAATTTGACTGTTACAAGCAACACTTCATTTTTTCTTCATATCAAATGAACTTTATTGGAATGTGTTCAGATATCTGTATTTTAAATCTGTGGTAAACATTTGATTTGTATTTTTGATGTTACCTCTTGCTTAAAAACCTTGTTTTGTTGGAAGATATTACATACATTTAAGCTAATAAATTTTGTTATATATATTCAAAGTACTTAATGTCTTTAAACTGCATTCTTTTGGAGACTGAAGAAAAAATTTTTATTAATCTTCATAAAAATATTTAATTTTTTCTTCTATTGGTTCTTTTAATTAAATAGGGAGTTAAACTTAAATGAATATCTCTAAGATTGGATATAATTTGACAATATTCAGTGTTGCTCAATTTAAGTTTTTATTTTTGTACTTTTGGAGTAGATGTTTGTCAAGTTTTAAGAGAAAGTTGTTAATATTAACAAAACAGTGCAACTCGAATGCAAATAATTTGTTAAATTTCATGTAAGATTATGTACCTTTTTTTTTCTGTGTTCCATAAAAAATCAAATATGCAAATGAATAGTAACAGAAAACCCTACAAAGAATCAAATCTGATGAAGGCTCGGACTTCTATAAATGACTGTGTCAGGAGATACAATCACAAACTAAACAGCTTCATCTGCATTTGATGCATCCCCACACAAAGATTATGGCCTTTCAAACTAATTTTAGTTTCTTTTTCTTGAAAGTTTTGAAATGAAGTTATTTATTCTATATATTTTTCAAACAGTATTTTCATCCTTGATGAAGATACTAGTCTGATGTAGAAGGCTGAAGAATTTATCAATAAAACATTGCAACAAAAGCAAATACACTTGCCTGAGAGTTTTATGTAAAATTTGGCATATAATCATTACACTATTATGAGCTAATGTTACTATGGTGATCATTTTTCATTCATTCATAGCCTGGTGAATGACCTTTTATGGATTGCTTTGATTGGATAATGTAAATATGTAATAATAACATTTTCTAACAAGCCTGTCAGAGACATACACCAAAATGAAACGTGTTGGGACAAGTTAAAAAATAATTTAGAACCCAAATTTAAACATTCTAAAAGGCTATAATGATGGCAGAATTTTTCAACCTTTTGAATTCCTATTATATTTACTATATTTGTTCACACACTAAATGTACTATGAACATTTTGACATCTGTTTACTTCCTGTATATGCTTTTAGTATTTTCTGTGTTATTAATGTTTACATTAATTATTGACAATCTTTTTCTACAAGAATTTCTATGCACAACACAGAATATTGGGTAAAACAAATTTCAGTTTAAAAAGTGCCAAATATGGTGGCGACAAAGTTAATAATTTAGAAATTAAAATTTTTTAAGAGGTGATGAAGGTAAAAATATTCAGCTTTTAGAGTTCATTTTGGCATCTGGTTATTTTATATGTAGGCTTTTAGTATTTGCTGTGTCACTATAACTGTAATTATTAGTGAATTGCTGATGCATTTTATTTAAATAAATCCCGTCTGTGATACGAGTTACATTGCTCATGCAAAAAATAAATTGATAAAATGATTCCAGTTGCACATTTTGGAAGAGTATCTGATTAGTGTTTTCTGTAATTTTATCTTGAAGATGAGGATAAATTTGGTCAAAAACTTATGGAAAAATTTGGTTGGCAGAAAGGCAAGGGTCTTGGTGCTAATGAAGATGGTCGTGTGGAACATGTGAAAGCCAGTGCAAAGAATGATACAAAAGGTAAGAGGGATCTGTCATTGACAAATGATTCTGATTTTTTTTTTTTTGCTTTTTATTACTCTTTAACATATCTAGCAGACCATTCACGGGCAAAATTTTTGATTTGAAAACTTGACCTACTGATGGTTTGTGCAGTAACCAACATATAAAATGACTTTATTCTTTTATTTGAAAATTTGATTAATACAAGAGGAAAAATATTTAACAGGATGCATAGAAGTGTCAGCAGTTATGTTAAACATGTACCTAGCTTATTCATCATTTGTAAAAATATCTTAGTTATCTACAGACTGAGATGAAGTATTGGTTAGCAAGCACATTTCATAAGAAGTTCAATCCTTACTGAGTACTCTTGTGGCCAGACTATACTAAACTTAATAAATAAGCACCTTTTTAATTTCATATTAAATAACCAAAAGAATGCTTACAATGAAGTTTCATTGTTGCTATTTTTAGAAGCAAGATCAAACTGTTAAGACTTTGTGCTTATTTGATATTTATTTCACTTGTCATTGCAAAGTGAAGGTAGATTTAAAATAATGTCATGAATTGTAGATTGAAACCAATTATTTTTTCAAATGAAAACTTTTAAAAATGTCTTTTTCTTTTTTTCCACTTCGTAGGGTTTGGTTTTAAAAAAACGAACAATGATAACTGGATATGTCACCAGGATGATTTTAATTCTCTGCTCAAAAACCTGAACGCAAGCCATGGCAGACCTGACCAAGAAAATGATGAAAAGGTCATTAGCTTGGAAGAGAAATCTAAAGCTGCTAAAAAACGAGTTCAGTAAGTAGTAATTTTCCATGTCTATCATTATCATTTTGGGGTTTTTCCTTATCAAGACATTCTCTTGCTGAGACATTTTTGTCCATAAGTTTGTACTTATATTACTGTTATTAAAAAAAAAGCTAATGCCATTTACTTAAGATGAAAAGAGTCTATATTTTGTGTCAATATTTATTTATCCACTTGGGTGTAAGGTGTTTTATGTGAAATCATATTGGTGAAATATCCTATCAGCCAATCTGTTTTATCACCATCAATGAGCTATTTTTAATTAATGTAATTCACTGATGGAATAAAAACTCAGGACAGGGACATTTCTTATGTGATATTGCACCAACCACCGTTAAGTGTTTAAACATTGGTTTACAATAACTTTTGATTTTATTTTTTATTAGTTATCACAAGCAGACAAAAGGGAAAGATCTATCACAACAAAGTACTGAAGATTTAGACTGTATTTTTGGTCGGAAGAAATCAAAGATACCACAAGAGAAAAAAGAAGTTTTGCCAAATGTTGAAGAAACAAAAGTGAGTACTTTCTTTGGTTTCAATTTATTTTGTTTAAGGTGTTTTTTTTTGCTTTTCCAATGTAGACACAAAGTCTTACTTTTTGCAGTGATATTTGATGATGCTCATTAAATGAGCTGGGATTTTGAAGAATTTAATTGGGTTTGACATCTCAAGCACACTTATGGGTGTTGAAATTCTTATCTTTATCTTATCTCTGATCTGTCTCAACCAAAACATTTTCATCTCAGATGAGTGTAGTCCGGGAGCTGTGAATACTGACTTTTCCTAATCAAGCTGACAAGTAAAAGGAATTCAAATTCCGTAAGAGATGAATTGTTTTACCTGATGCTAAATCCACTCAAGCAAATGCTACATGAGAGAATCCTATTTGACTCTACACTTTTCCTATTGCAAAAATCTAGCAATAAATGTCTCTTGTCACAATTGAACAAAGTCAAAGGACAAACCAGAATCATTTCTTCAACTGTTTTTGTTGTCTATGATTCAACAACGGGGTCACTTTGATTGTACCACTTTTTCTGCATCAATCCACAGTGATCACCCAAAGTGCTGGTCCAAGGTGCAATGCTACACAATTGAAAACTAAGGATGAAAAATGTTTTTTTTTTTAAAGTGATTAGTAAGAGAAAAAAAAATACTAATTCTATTATTAAAAGTGATATCTGTTTATTACTTTCTTGTTATTGTTTATTTTTATAGGAATTTATTTTTTTATTCTATTTAGTTAATTATTACTGCATATAAAATACTTATAAAATGAGGTAATACTTGAAATATATGAATTAACAATTAGGTTCAAGTTAAATTGTTGCATTTGCTAACTTTTTTAACCCACTGAAATAAGTTTTTGCAAATTTAAGTACTTCCATAATTCTGACATTTTTGTATTTTAGTATGAACTATATTTGAACTCTGCACTTTTTGGCTTTTCTTGACTCGTGACTTTGCCACTACTCTGTTTTTAATCCTTTTTGTGTTCACAAAGTATTTTTGGTAGTAGGGAAAAAATTAAATCATTAGTAAATTCTGGTACTTTGTATCTAAAGTTTGCTTTGGTATACAATTTTATGTTGTGCCTTGAAAACTGAGAAGAAATGTTGTCAATGGTCAGGAATTAAGTTAACTATAACTAACATTTAGATTGTTTATTTTGACAATTGCATAAGGCCAAAGGGGAAGTGGGGAAAGATTGATTATCAGTGACTTCCCTACACATAGCTAATCTGAATCACGACCCATTCATTCTTACAATTGACTCGTTCACTACAAGAAATCATCCTTCTACACCCAATCCAACATTTACCTAAATACCACATATGTAGGAATCCTACTGAAACACCCATGCCATAAAAATTTCATATATGTTAGTAAGATCTGGCCACTCCACAAAAAATGGTTGCTGTGATCTGTTGATAAGCAGAATAAAGAAGCTTGTCTACTAGATGCAAATTATGGGGTGGGGAAAATGTAAAAGGCTGGTTCAGTCAAGGTAAAAGGAGGATAAAACAAAGTGGGGAGATTAAGTCTATTAAATGTATAATGTAAATAAATTATTTTTACTGTAGAATTGCAGTACAGCTGAATTTACTATAGAAATACATTACTCTCAGTGGTCAGAGATTAAGGCAAACATTAATGTCATAAGAGGACTATTGTATGTACAATGTAAATATATTGCTAATAATTTTAGCATGAAAATAAATGCAAATTTTGCAAAAGGAATTGGGCTAGTATGCATAATGTTTAGATATTAGTTTTATTTGAAATATATTTATTTAACCATTGAGAATATTTGCTTAGAATATTTTTGCAAGTTGAAAATGATAAATCATAGATTCTAAATTAATGTGAATTTTTTCTTTTTCAATGAATTACAACAAAGTTTTTTCTGACTAAAATCTCTATGGATGTGTTTCCTTGTTTTTCATTTAGGATGCTCCTGATGAGAACACCCATGGAATACAAACCATTCAAAGCAGCCAAAGTGTTCAGGAATATTTTGCTATGAAGCTTTCCCAAATGAAGGCTAAGAAAAGAGAATCACTGTTGGCTGAGGTTTCTCAGAAAGAGAAAGTTGAAGCTGAACCTGCCAAGGTTCCTGCACCAGAGGAAACCTATGTGGCAGATCTGAAAATTCAAGCTAGTGATGAGGAAATGAGAGAAAATGTTAATAGTGAAAAGAGCAGAAAGAAAAAGAAAAAATCTAAAGAGAAAGAAAGACATGTAAACAAGGATCAGGAAGAAAGCTGCTTTAATTCATCATTAGAACTTGTTGAGAAAGAGAATGTTGACACTTTTAACAATGAAAGAAATGAAACTGGGGAAAATTGTGATGAAAACACGTTTTTCAAAAAAGCCAAAAAATCAAAAAAGAAGAAAAAGACAAAAGAAGATTTGGATAATGTTAGTGAAGTTGTTGAAATAGCAGAAACTGTTATGGATGAACTTCCTGTTGCTGCAGATAACAAAATGGAAGCTGCTGAAAGTAACTCTGTGGCAAAGCCCAAAAAAAAGAAACGTGATAAGAAATGTAAAGATGGACCATCTACTAATGTAGTAAATGGTGAGAGTCTGGAAAATTCTTTGTCTTGCAACAGAGACATTAGTAACTCTACAAATTCTGAGCCATCAGATAGAGCTTTTATTACTGTTACAAAGGAGGCACCAGTTTCAGTGGAAGAAGGAATAGTAATTGTTGAAAAAGAAATAGAGACAAAGCCTAAAAAACATAAAAAGAAGAGGACAAAAGATGAAGTTGAAATTGTTAGCAAAAGTACTACCGAAAGTGATATTCTAGATAAATCTGTGTCCTTTGACATTGATAATATCAATAATGCTAGTCATCTTGCTGATGACAATAATGAAGAAACTATAGCTTCACCACCTAAAAAAAAGAAAAAGAAAAAATCTTCCAAAAAATCAAAATATGAAGCTGAAGAGAATTCGGATGCCCTCCCAACTGAAAATTCTGTCAGTGATAAGACGAATATGCAAACCCAACAAAGTAGCCCAGCAGAAATGCAGGAATCAAATGAGAGCTCTACCTCTACTGTAGTAAATTGTGACAATTTAAATGCTTTTAGTTCATCCTTAATGAGCTTTTCAGATATTCCAGAGAATAAGCAGCAGATTAAAACAAATCCTTCTGCCGTTAACACTGCTACAAAAAAGTTTCAGGATGCTGGAGCAAATGTAGATAAAATCTGTGGTTATGGGTACAACATGCAATAAAAATATTTTTACTTTGTTTTATAAAATGATGGTGGTTTTCATTCATTTGTGGTGCAAAATATTTGTTTAGTGTTGATTGTGAGACTGGTATATTTATTGTTTCGGCGTGGGGGTTCATCCCCTTCCCTCTCATTATAAATCATCCATAAATTTTTATGTATAAAATTTTATCAAATTTTTATATTATAGGGTGCATTTTATAGGTTCCCCTGAGAGGATTGATTGATGATAGATGAGTTCTTATGGTGAATGTGCAACTTGTAGTGAGTAAATGGGTCATGAATCGGATTAGCTAGGTATAAGATAGTCAGTGAAAACCAGCTTCAACCCATTCCCCCTTTTCAGCCTTGTGCCATAATTGTATTTTTTATGCAATAAATATTGACTCTGATATTGAAATACTCACTGGATGAATTTAGTTTTTCATAGTAGTACTACTAGTAGTCTTTCATATTAGATCTTAGTTAAATTGTTTTAATTTTCAACATTTTGTGATAATTCTTTAAAGTATTATTTTATAATGGTGCAAATGATCCTCTTGTCAAAATATCATCCCTGACTGATGTCAATATTAAAATTGACTGAATGGAGCAGTTGAAGAAAAGATAGAATTGATAGTTATTGATGGCTTGACAACTTATAGGTTTTCCTCGCAACCTGAAAACCAAGTGTTACCAACATGAAAAATGTTTTAATGTTCCCAGGCATCCAAAATTTGCATAATATTTTCACAATAATTGACTGTTGCAATGAATATGGAAAACTATCCCTTTAATTCTGAAAGGGAATGTAGGTTGAGGGCTTAGACAGCCATGTATATATGTATTTTTTAGCTTTCCAAATCAGACAATGGAAAGGCAGACTTTGTTTTTAAGTTTGTGAATGCTAGACAAATTTTCCTGTATAAATTAATAATGGTAATTGCTTCTCTGCTTTAAGCTATTTCAGAGGGTGGAGGGAAACCTGTATTAATGTAGATTTTTCATAAAACCTGTATATTGGTGCTGTAGACAAGTAGTCTAAATCTATATAATTCTCAATGTGTGTGTGTGTGTGTGTGTGATTGGATGTTGTTTATGCACTTCCATAGTTTTCATCCGATTTCGATGAATTTTTTTTTGTTTGATAGATAATTCTTCAGTGCCGGTTTTGAGTCCAAATTAGCTGGAAAAAATTGCAACCTTGAAGGTGAAAAATCGAAAAAAATTTTTTTTTTTTTTTTTTACACTTTGCACAAAAATCAAAGGCAAAATTTAAAGTTTGTAAGTAAAAAAAAAAAAAAAAAAAAGTGTGTACAATCAATTTACAGAGTTGAAATCTAACGCAAAAAGATTATTAGAATTATAAAAAAAAAAAAACTATCGTATGACGGTACATGGAAGAGGTTCACCGTTCCTTGCAGGGCCAACCCCATTCAAATTGTTACCCCGCACCATTTAGGAATGTGCTTCAGTTGCACCCAATTGTTACGAATATTGATTTTCGGGTGGGATGACTTAAAACTCAAACTGTGGCTCCAATTGAACGACAAAAAATCCCAGTAATGAAACACCCGGTCGAAGACTGTTTTTACTGCTAGTAAACTCTATTTTTATAAATTTAAAAAAATTTTTTTTTTTCGTTTAACTTCTAAAATATAGATATATTTTTTAAGTCGGCAAATTATTGACTTTTTTTTTTGTGTCTCATCTTTAAACTACCGATTTTGTGAAGTATTCAAAGTTTGATTGAATGGTGAAATATTTATTTTCGACGTTTGTTTTTTCTTTCATCGTATTTTTCTTTTTTTTTTCTTTAATCGCAAAACCCGTATCGTCATTTTTATGGAGTAGAAACAAAAATAAACTTTTGTCGAGATTGGAACTAGTATACCTTCTTGGGAGACGGTCTTTTACTGACAGCATATTACCGATCAGATCAAGAAATAGCTTTACCAGAAAACAGTTATGTTTTTTTATTTTTGTGAACGCTACGCCGTCATGCACGTGAATGATGTGAAAAAGCAACAGAAATAAAATGGTAATTTTTATCCAGATTAATTTTTGTTTAAGTGCTTAAACTTGACAAAATCTTTAGTAAATTTGCGTCAGCTTCGTTACGCGTAGATTAGGGTTGCTTTAGTTGTAAATTGAAAGCAGTACAGTGTCCCGGATATAAGACTCTTATATCCGGGACACTGTAATATGAATAGGAGAACCACAACGTATAGTTTTCTATGTCAGGGACGATAACTCTATTTGACTATTTTAGAAGGGAGGTAATATGGTGCCTAAGATTATAACCATGATAATGGTTGCAATTTACAAGTATAATCCTGATTATCGTCATATATAACTTATAAATTAATATAATGACGATAATACAAATCAATAAGTCCTATCAATTAGTAGAAGTTTCCGTACTTTAAGGCCAATAGAATCTTTAAGAAAGGTGTATTATATAGTATGATTATATATTATTTAATATATTTAATGTTATTTAATGATGAGGTATTTATAAAGTATTATTTAATATAATAATATTTAATAATATATATTTCTCTCTTTTTCCTTTATATTGTTTCTGTAATTTAATTTTCTGTTTGTACTTATTAAATAATATTTTATATATTCCTTTATTTAATAACTTGATTATAATATATTTAAGTGTAGATGTTTCTTTTTATTTCCTTTATAGATGGTAATAGTTTTATTAATAGGTATTACTACATGTTCTTTTGAATATAAAGTGAAGAATATTAAATAATACATTCCCTAAAAAGTAAAAAAAATTTTTTTTTTTTTTTTGGTTGTTTGTTAATATAACAAAAAAATTTCCTATGTCTATTTTTCTGATAGAAAACGAGGTGAATAAGTCAGGTCACGTCTACCATCCCCATGTCTAGATGTTAATATCCTTTCTTCCCCTCTTTTCTTTCTTTTTTGTCTTTTTACTATTTCTTTTAGTCTTTCCTTTTTTCTGTTTTTCGCTGACTTGTTTTAAAATTTACTTTAGGCCTGGTTTCATTTCATTACCTTGATTGGTTTGAAAATCCTTACAGATCTCAGTTTGGAAGGTGAAATGATCAAAACTATGAGGTAATTTTAATTCCTATTGTATGTAATTTATATGGTCTATTGAATAAATATACTGAGCTCTCTTTGTGGACCAGTTTTAATATTCTATATAATTAGGATTCACATGGATTATTAGCTCCGTGTGTGTGTGTGTGTATATATATATATATATATATATATATATATATATATATATATATATATATATATATATATATTAGTATTTTCTATTGATACATTATTTTTATATTTCAGTAAATGCACTGTTTATAATAAACAGTATTAATTACCTTACCAACCTGAATGTGAAATTTTGTAGAAAATCTGTGTCTGCCAACATTTAGGCCAGTAAATGTAATTAATACTGTTTAAGTATGAAAAAAAAACGAGCATTTACTCAAATGTATCCATGAAAAAATGTATATACTGAAAATATGTTGGATTTAATTATTCAATTTATTTATAAGGAAATTTGAAAAGTAATAAAAATTATTTTTAATAAAAATCAATAAAACACCACTCAATAAAATACCTTTACTATTTCTAGTAAGCAAAATGCCCTGGTATATTTCAAACATCAATTATATTGATTCGAATCTCAACTTTTTGGTTACTTTCCAAAAATCATTTAAATTTGCCCAATTTGATATGTTTGTGAACAAAATTTAATTCTCAGTTTTAAAAATCTTCCAAAAATAAAATATATATTTGTGACACATTATCAAATTTAAAGTTGAATTAATCCAATTTGAAACAAATATTAGTTGTTTTTCTGATGTACTGATTGATTTGTTGAGAGCTAATTTTGGTGGATCAGAATTAACATAAATT